TATTTCTTCAAAAGCACTTTTAATAAAATTATTTTTTAAAATTAGTTAATTTCGACAGCTTTACCAAACAACATTTTAGTCATGTAAGATCTAAAAGACAAGATAAACTATTTTTAATTCATCAAAGCAAATAGCAAAATAAACACTTACAACTTTTAACTTTTTTTTTTTGGGTGTGGGGTCAAAAGGGGTCAAAAACATACTAAAAATATCTAAATATTTTAAGTTTTCTATCTGAATTATCGAGTGTTTATTTTTTTTACCTGAACTATAACAAAATGTTTATCAAATACATCACAACTACCAATTGCTTACTTTTCCTATATGATATTTCAGGTAGGAAAAGTGAGCAATTGATAGTTGAAGTGTGTTTTGATAAATATTTGGTGATAGTTCAGATAGGAAAAATACAAACCCGATAGTTTAGGTTTGAAACTGAAAAAACTGTGATATTACAGCTGTATTTTTCACTCTCACTCTTTTTTTAATTATATTTTGTGTTGAAAAAGCAATCATATTTGTTCCACCAAAAGTAAACAAGATTTTGCACAGACTGTCCTTATTTTAGGATAGTCTTTAATTTTTATCCTTTAAATTCGTGGTCTTTAAATTTTACCCTTACTACTTATTTAATAAAAATTAATGGACCAAAATACACTTAATTATGACCTAATTTCGCAAGGCGGAACTTTTTAAAGAAAGTTTGCCTTGGGCCATAAGTTGTATATTATTTGATTCGCAAGGCGAGACTTTTAGAGAATTTGTGCCTTAAGGCATAATGTCTGCCACTGAACTTATGCCCTGTGGCATAACTTGTGTCATTAAATTGATGTTTTGGTCATAACTTGTACCACTGAACTTAAGTCTTGAGCTTAATTTATTTTGCGTTCAAGCGTAATTTGAGTTACTACACTTATGTTTTGGGGCATAACTGTTACACCCCGTAAATTCCCGGCACATAGATGGCCTATTCGCGACGAAAATGTACCATGATATCAAAGAAAACTACTGGTGGCCGGGTATAAAAAGAGAAATTGTTGATTTGTAGCCCAGTGCCCTAACTGCCAACAGGTGAAAGCAGAACATCAGAAACCAGGCGGGTTAACTCAGGACATAGCTGTGCCTCTCTGAAAATGGGAAGCAGTGAATATGGATT